TTTTTTTCATGAAAAAAGTGTGCCTTTGCACAAAAAGGTTGAAAAACACTGCTTTAACATACCTTGCGTTCTTACATATGGTTAAATAGGTTGTTTTTCTGTAAGATTCTAAGTAGAACAATAGCACTTTCAACTGAATCCAAGCCTTTCCCCAGCCAGCTGCAAGAAAATGTATAACTTTCAGTGACTGAGCTTGTTACATCAACAAAGGTGCCATTCATAAGATTTATAAAGTGAAACAGGATGATAGTCATTGCATCTTAGAAAGTCAGAGGATAAGAATTCTGTTCAGTATTTAACTCTAGATCTGACAATATGTAGCCTAGAAGCAATAAAGTATAAAATAGACTTTAAGAATTCTCTGATATGGCTTATTTGTTTCGAAATTTTATTATTTTGACTCTCCTAAGATTAAAACCATTTATAGTAGAAGGCAATAAAACAATTTAGCTGACCAAGAATTGTGAAACATTACCAACCTGTTAATAATTAAAACAGAAAAAAAAACCTAGAGGATTTATTTCTACTTATATTCCACATTCTTGTTTTAATAACAATACTAATATTTATTGTAAAGATATTTACAATTAATAACCCTTTAGAATAATTAAACAGTAATTGTAGTGTTATAGAAAACTTTAATGTGTTTCCAATGCAACAAACCTGATTTCATCAGGATGCACCCCAAACAACAGGCAGATTGATTAAACCTAAACAGTCCAGATACAATATCATGATGTGATTTGCCTCATTTACCTTATGGCATTATTACACAAATCACAATGACTTTCATATGTATTATGTAGTTAAGAGTAATGGACCTCCCCTCCCCCTAGGAATCTGTTAAAAATGGTTTCACTGTAATAAAACCACACATTTCTTGAAAAGTTGTACAACAAAGACTATCCTGCTCAAATGCACAGTTGTCCAATTAAAAGCTTTGGAGAACTGAAGTGTTCTTGGGGCCAGCATAATTGTATAGGAGGGAATTCAAACATCATACCGTATTTTTCAGAATATAAGACGCAACAAGATTTTGAAGAAGCAAGTTTTTTTTAAAAAAAGTGCACTCTGCAGACCTCCCAAAAATGGGCCGTTTTTCACGAAAATGAGCCCGTTTTTTTTTTAAGGGCATGGATAGCCTTTAGGAGGCTTATAGAGAGCTCCTAGGGACTGGGGGGGAATTGAACAAAAAACAGCCCATTTTTCACTCATTTCTGCCCTCCCCAGCCCCCAGGAGCACTCTGGAAGCCTCCTAAAGGCTCTGCACGGCCATTTTGGTGAAGGGGGAGGGGTTTCGGGAGGCCAAAAATGCTGTATTCACTGTATAAGACGCACCTAGATTTTCAGCCTCTTTTTTGAGGGAAAAGGGTGTGTCTTATATTCTGAAAAATATGGTACTTCCCTGTACTGTATGAAATTGTTTCTAAACAACACCAAGATAAGAACATATTTTAGAAAGCGATAAGGAAGTCTGCAGAAGACTGAGTTCTTCTCCATAAGAATGCCTTCTTAGGAATGTACTGGTTCAGAAAAGATATAAAACAAAATGCTTGTTTTGTAAAATTTCTTACTTATACATCATGTAATGATGTATAAGTAAGAAAATATCTCAGATCTGCAAATGATTATTATTATTGTTTACATTACCAATGTCTAATCCCATTAGAAAAAACGTACGCTTTGCTTGTGAATACTCGACACCCAAAGATGAGAAAGCAAATCGAGAACAGCATGAATAATGTAATATCATCCGTGTTTGGGGAAAGCTATAAGCTTCAGGTAAGTTGAGCAGATTTTTTTGTTTAGCATAAGCTTGCTATCTTCAAGTTGGCATTTTGGATGAGTTTTAAGAACATTGCTCTTGAATAAAGTAGAAAGGCAAAGCCTTTCTCCTGGAGGAACAACCATAAATCCACCCAAAGACAGTGAAAAGTGAATGTGAATTCAAGTTTTTTAATGTTTTGCTATGTGGCAGCTCAGGCCTAGTATTCAACAGTTACTAAAACCATCTTGTTCTTGGAGCTGGGGCTCAAAACTTGCTCCAAAAACAGCTTTTAATTAAGCTGTAGGATTCCTTGGGATAGAACATATCCACATGTATGTTGCTATATGCATAAAATTCAGTGGATGGATGATCTGTGTAGGAATAGCGTGCTTTATTTCCCTTCCCCATTTTTTAAAATACAGTATACCCAAACAGGTGTTATTGTATGGTACTTTCTCGTGACCATTTTAAATAATGATAACAGACAAATTGCATGTCTACAATGTTTCCAGCAACTGGGGGTTGCCTTTAATTCTACTGTCACCTCTATACTGCTAAGCCCTCCCAAACTTCTGAAAGAATATATAATATTTAACAATACCATGTATAGAGAAGGGGAAGAAGCAAAACAGTCCAAGAATGAGTTCAAGCTTTATAATAACCATAAGGCCTGTTATTTAAAATCAGATTTCAAGCTGAAAAATGCTGACAAATTGCATTAATCACCTGTTAATATTACTGGTATCAGATTTTATCTACCATTCTGGAACAAAAATGTAAAAGCCAATTTTCAGTTCTAAAGATGGAAATGCTGGTTGAATCTCAAATGTTTAAGGTACTGGGATTTAATACTACTATAGTCATCCATACTAAATATCTGTTTGTTTGTTTATAAACCTGAACAATTATGTGTGTGTGGGGGGGGTGTCATTTAAGTTTTTGGAGAATGAGTGGTACTATGTCATGGATAGGTATGGCTGGAATTTTGCAAGCTCTTAGAAGTTTCAGAAGCATAGTTATTTTTTAGAAGTTATGTTAAATGTAGAGTGCAAGTTTAATGCATTTCCTATTTCAAAATGGGAGGAAACCATGAAGTTGGTTTTCAGAAATTGTAGCTGTAAGGGGCTCCAACAGGAAGGGAAGGAACAGGCTTTAAGACTGCATCCATTCATGGAATCAACTGATCAATAATAATTTTTCTTTTCTCTGTACAGTTTAACTTCCAAGATGTTGTAAAGAAGTTTTTTCCTTCAAACACCTGTCTGGTTCATGAAGAAAGTTTAAGTTTCTCCTATGAGTTCAAAACTGATGCCTTATTCGATTTCTTTTATTGGTTTGGGATCAGCAAGAGAACTGTTTCAATGAATGGGAAAGTTCTTAATTTATCAAGCACCAATCCAGAGAAGAAAGAAATTATAACTAAGTTTCTGGATAAAATGAGTGAACCAAATTTGCGTTTAAACAGCTTTTCAGACAGGAAGTTCAGCATTATCTCTAGAGGTGAGTTGGTAGTATATTATGACATTTTAAATATTGCATTCTTCATAAGTAGAACAGCTTTATTCTGTGATTAAGTTCAGTACACATTGCTATAAGGCGTTGTTTGTTGACACAATGGACTGTGTTTCTGCAATATGGTAAGACATAAGCTGGAGTTTACAAACCACTAGGTTTACACACTTTTTTCCAGTTTTTAAAAATTAAATGTGTTCAGTTCAGCCAGCAAACTGGAATGTCTGGAAATTATGAGTGTTTTGGATCAATTATGAGAGTTTTTGTCGGGATAAGGAAGTTTATATTTCTTTAGACATTTCATATGTATTTATATTATCTTTCAGTTTTAATAGATGATGTGTTTAATGGCAACTTGACATCACAATCAACTTGGATGGATTCTCCTTTAGCTCTCTGGACAGTTTCAGGGTCTCAGAAGTCTGGAGACAGGTCAAGTATCGAAGTCTGATTTTCTTAACATCGAGAAAGATATATTGAAAAAAGAAGGAAGATAACCACACTGGGATTATCTTATTGCAGAATGCAAGGAATTTCTGCCTTCTGTGGCAAATAATAGGATGTATCTGCATTCTATGTTGCTTTCGTTGATTTCAGGGCAAGACTCCTGATTACTAAAGGGTTGTTTACAGACCTGGTTCTACATTTTACATTAAAGGCTGTTGAAGCCTAGAATTATTGGTATTGCAGTTATCCGTATAGGTAGAATGATTTTAAATCCTGGATTATTTCATCAGTTTCTAAATAACTGTCAGGTTTTCAGAATCATGGAAAAATACATTATTTTTGTGATTGCTCCAACATTTATCATACCCTGGCAAGATGTTAATTCCAAACAGCTTTGAATTGTAAGTAGCTATGACAGATAGTACTATGAATTGTACTTGGGTTTGGTTTTTTTTTTGTAAAATGGATGGTATAGAACTGGCAGGAGGAATACTCGAATCCATGTCTTTTGATCCAGAAGTCAACTGCTATCAGAATTTGGTTGTATTCTGGCTTGGAAAACATTGCTGCGTGGCCTTTCACTTATTGGGCATTATTTTCACCAGGGTTGTAGTGTGCTTCAGATTTAATCCAAAAGGAAAATTTAGGATACTCAACAGAACATCTGTCCAATTCTTTAAATCTTTTCCAGGATTATGTGGCTGCAAGTTGTTGTGCTCTCCTAGGAAAAGACAGACTGCTTTAAATAACAGCAGACAGATGCTACATTATGCACTCCATATTTCGTTGTAATTGAATCCAAAGAGGTGTGCATGCATTCATTTGTACATCTCAATTTCAGAATAAACAGTCTCTACAGATTCTACTTGAATATGTAAACATAACACATAGAGGTGCTTTGAATCAGAGCTTATTATGTTGGAAGGTTATAGAAAATGTTAGTGTTATGTACTCCATAGTAAATGGGAGGTGCAAGAGCTGAATGGTGGTGATTTAAGGAGTCACCTTGGGGCTACCTGATGAATATTTTTCTTTTTCTTTATGACATAGCATTAAAACACTTGTTTTGATAGATGAAGCATAATTTTTCTACCATGAAAAACTGACCTTGTTAAATTTGAATTGCATGGTATATTTTGGGCTTATAGCAGCCTTTCTCACTGATGTCTTTTAGAGCTTCAGCTTCTAAACTTCCCACTGAATGGCCACCTGGCTGTAGGCCCACCCAATGTGGAGAGTGCCAGCAGGTTTAAAGAATGACTGAAATGAATATGCCATAAAAAGTAACTTCTTTTTTTCTTAGTATGCTTTTTTTATTATCAATTTAAATGTCTACATCTTAAGGAATGCAATATTCAGTCTCTTTATATTGAAGAAACCTCATGTATAAACAATTGCCTAATCAGTGCCTTCTGTATATCATTGTTTTACAATAAACAGAGATATGGATCTTTTTTCTTTTTCAAGTTAGCTTTCCATGTTGCACAATGTCAAAAGTTCATCTATAAACATTAAGCCAGATTACACAGCAGGAATTTGAATAAAGGTTGGAAGTAAGTAGGGAGAAAACAGCAACACTAAAAAGCACTGAATATGTAAAATCCTGAGATATAAAACAGCTGAAATTCGCCCTAAAACTAAAGGAGGCACAACTAATAAATGCTAAGAGCCATCTAATTTGAAAATGAAGAATAATATTGAGAGATTTAAAAATTAGAATTAAAAGGTTGAAGGAGAGGAAGGTTTATAAACATGATTGGAATTGCAATCCTATTTATGTGAAACCCAGGGAAACAATGGCTATTTAGGCATTGAATCTAACTGTAGGAAAGGCCACTAAGTTGAGAGCTCCTGTAATTTATAAATACAGGTAGTCCTCAATTAAAGACTGGTCACTTAGCAACTATTCAACTATTTTTTTCAACCAACCCCCCCCCCCTCATATAGGTGATTGCAGGATTCTGTGGTCACACGGCTCTGATTTATGTTTTTTGCCTGTTTCCAATCTTTCCAGGCCATGGGTGGCTGCTAAGCAAACATTGGCTTAGCAGCCATCGCAACAGTGGTGGGTTATGATCGATACGC